TCCCCCTCCGGCGAAGCGCCGAAAAAGGCCCCAAGATGGGATCTCACGGGTATAGAAGGTTGCGGCGGTGGAAAAAGTGCTTCGTGGCTCTCCCTGAAGGTTTCATGGTGTAAGAGTATATATAGGCGAAGGAAGTAGGCCGGTGAAGCTGCGAGGGGCCCACAAGGGTGGGGGCACACCCTCCTGCCTCGTGGCCGCCTCGTGGCTTCCTTGACCTCCACTCCAAGTCTCCTAGATTGCGTTTGTTCCAAAAACGATCCTCGCGAAGGTTTCATTCCGTTTGGATTCCGTTTGATATTCCTTTTCTGCGAAACACTGAAATAGGCAAAAAAGCAACAATTTGCACTGGGCTTTCGGTTAATAGGTTAGTCCCAAAAATAATATAAAAAGGTATATTAAAGCCCATTAAACATCCAAAACAGATAATATAATACTCCCTCCGTCCGGAAATACTTGTCATTGAAATGGATGTATTTAGATGTATTTTAGTTCTAGATACATCCATTTTCATTCATTTTGATGACAAGTATTTCCGGACGGAGGGAGTAGCATGGAACAATAAAAAATTATAGATACGTTGGAGACGTATCAAGCATCCCCAAGCTTAATTGTGGCTCGTCCTCGAGTAGGTAAATGATAAAAACAATTTTTTTGATGTGGAATGCTCCTAACATAATTTTCAATGTAATTCTCTTTATTGTGGCATGAATGTTCATATCCAAAAGATTGAAGATAGAAGTTTAATATTGACATAAAAATAGTAATACTTCAAGCATACTAACCAAGCAATTATGTCTTATCAAAATAACATAGCCAAAGAAAGTTTATCCCTACAAAATCATATAGTTTGGCCATGCTTCATTTTCGTCACACAAAATGATCCCATCATGCATAACTCCGATGACAAACCGAGCAATTGGTTCATACTTTTTAACGTGTTTCAGCCTTTTCAACCCTTACGCAATAGATGAGCGCAAGCCATGGATATAGCACTATAGGTGAAATAACATATGATGATGGGGGTTATGTGAGAAGACAAAAAAGGAGAAAGTCTCACATTGACGCGGTTAATCAACGGACTATGGAGATGCCCATCAATTGATGTAAATGCGGGGAGTAGGGATTGTCATGCAACGAATGCACTGGAGCTATAAGTGTATGAAAGCTCATCAACAGAAACTAAATGGGTGTGCATCCAACTTGCTTGCTCACGAAGACCTAGGGCATTTTGAGAAAGCTCATCATTGGAATATACAAGCCAAGTTCTATAATGAAAGATTCCCACTAGTATATGAAAGTGACAAAATAATAAACTCTCTATCATGAAGATCATGGTGCTATTTTGAAGCACAAGTGTGAAAAAACGATAGTAACATTGTCCCTTCTCTCTTTTTCTCTTTTTTTGTTTGGGCTTTTTTGGCCTCTTTTTTTTATTTCATAGTCTCCATCATTATTTCCTCACATGGGACAATGCTCTAATAATGATGATTATCACACTTTTATTTACTCATAACTCAATTTTACAACTCGATACTAGAACAAAAATATGACTCTATGTGAATGCCTCCGACGGTGTACCGGGATATGCGATGAATCAAGAGCGACATGTATGAAAGAATTATGAAAGTGGTTTAGCCACAAATACGGTGTCAACTACATGATCATGCAAAGCAATATGACAATGATGGAGCGTGTCATAATAAACGAAACAGTGAAAAGTTGCATGGCAATATATCTCAAAATGGCTATGGAAATGCCATAATAGGTAGGTATGCTGGCTGTTTTGAGGAAGATATAAGGAGACTTCTGTGTGATAGAGCGTATCGTATCACGGGATTTGGATGCACCGGGAAAGTTTGCACCAACTCTCAAGGTGAGAAAGGGCAATGCACGGTACCGTAGAGGCTAGCAAATTTCGGAAAGGTAAGAGTGTGTATGATCCATGGACTCACATTAGTCATAAAGAACTCATATACTTATTACAAAAGTTTATTAGCCCTCTAAGCAAAGTACTACTACGCATGCCCCTAGAGGGATAGATTTGTAGGAAAAGACCGTCGCTCGTCCCCGACGCCACTCATAAGGAAAGCACTCAAAGAGCACCCCATGCTTCAAATTTGTCACACAACATTTACCATACGTGCATGCTACGGGACTTGCCAACTTTAACACAAGTATTTCTCAATTTCACAATTACCCAACTAGCATGACTCTAACATTACCACCTTTATATCTCAAAACATCTGTCAAGTATCAAATTTATCATAGTATTTAATGCACTCTATTTGAAAGTTTTTATTATACCCATTTTGAATGCCTATCATTTAGGACTAATTTTATAGCCAAAGCAAACTACCATGCTGTTCTAAAAGACTCTCAAAATAATATAAGTGAAGCATGAGAGATCACTAATTTCTATAAAATAAAACCACCACCGTGCTTTAAAAAAATATAAGTGAAGCACTAGAGCAAAATTATCTAGGTCAAAATATATAAGTGAAGCACATAGAGTATTCTAATAAATTCTGATTCATGTGTGTCTCTCCCAAAAGTGAAGCACATAGAGGATTCATGTAGCACTATTCATTTTGGAGGCTGTCTGTGTTGCCGGCCGCTGGCTGTGTTGCCGGTGAGGACGTGTAGGCCGCTGGCTCTGTTGCTGGCGTGAACTAGGGCTGCTGGCCTGAACTAGGGCTTGGTATTTCGAACGTTGTTGTTTTTTAAAATGGAGGCGGACAAGATGGGGCCAAATGATGCGGCCGTGCGCTGGGCGCACGGCCACCGCATCCCAGGACAGGCCCGGACACGACCCCATTGCCCTATCCAAACGGACAGAATTCGGGCAAAACGGACGTCCGTTTGGGGTCGCGCGGTGGAGTTGGCCTTAGGGCCTCTCCAACAGGGACACCTATTCCTCCATTGTCCAGTTTGGCTCTCGCGTTGGGTCGGATGCGGGCGAGTGTAAAAAAAACCCTAGTCCAGTCCCAAAATCGTGGGATAAAGCAGGGGAGTTCGGAGTAGGCCACACCGGACCCTGACAGTCCGGTGCACATTAAAGCCCTTTCCATGAAGCCAGCAGTTCTCTCTGGTCCACAGTAAAGCTCACTAATCTGCCTACCTGCCAGTGGCGAGGCTTGACCAAGATCTTGGGAAGGCTAAACAAAATATATAGGCTGGGAGGGGGGGGGGGCAAACATACAAACTTTCACAACCCAAGACCCCGTCCGCTCGCCGTCACCATGGCGTACCAGAAGATGACATGGCATTAGGCCAACTCCACCGCACGACCCCAAACGGATGTCCGATTTGGCCGGATTTCGTCTCTTTGGGGCGGCAATGGGTTCGCCCATGTCCACTTCTGTCCATTGGGGTGTTGGTGCACCCAACGCGCGGCCGCACTCCAAATCATGTCCGGGGTGGACATGATTAAAAAACAAAAAACTAAAATGAAATGCCCAAAAAGAGTAAATAAACTCAAATATAAAAACATAAAACACAAATTAACCATCACGGCCACAAAACGTCCCAGTTCCACGGTTCACATTGCCATAATTAACATAAAAAACAAAATAAAACCGCCGCCTGCGCGCTCCTGTTGTGCCAGTCGATGCCGTGGCCGTTGCCGTCTTCAGTGGCCGCCGTTGTCGTCGTCGTCGCGGTCGATGTAGTCCGAAGGCGTCCAGAGGTGGGACGGGGTGTCCAAGAGCACGGAATCGGGGGCGTACCTCGAGTCATAGTACAGGTCGTCCGGCATGAGGCGGCGGCGACGCTCGATCTCCTCGCGGCGCGCACGACCGCTCGTCGGGACCGGCAGGATCGGGACCCGGTCGGCGGAGAGATGCCAGTTATTGGGGAGGTGGACGTCGCTCCACGGGAGCGGCGTCCTCGTCTCCCAATAACGACGGCATACATCCGCGCTGATGTACTACCGGTCGCGCTCGCCGCCGGCCGTAGGGCCGATGGTGAATGGAGCAGGCGTGGGGTCCCGACGCGCTGGTGATGCGGGCTCCTCTTTCATGGAGCCGCGGCGGCGGCCCGAGGACGAGCCAGCCTCGCGGTCGTGCTTTCCCTTGCGGCCGTGGTTCAAGAACCCCATGGCGGCGAGGCGGCCGGCCGACGAGATCGAGGACGGGGAGAGGATAAGCTAGGGTTTGGGGGCGTGTCGGGTTTCGAGGAGGCAGCACGGGCTGAAGTGTGGAGTGTGGACGACGACCGGTCCAAGGCTTCCCCATCTAAGAAGGATGACGACCGTTCGCCTGGGCGGATGACGGGTGGGGCCAACCGCGCGTGCGCATTAATGTCAGACAGTGGGAGGTAGGTGGTCGCCTGCCACGCGGCCCCGAAGCGGACAAGCGGCGCGTCCGTTTGCTGTCCGCCGCGACCCAAACCCAGCGCGCGCATGTTTGCGTTCGAAATGGGTCGGCCCGGACACAAAACAGACCAGATGGGTCCAGCCCGTCGCGTGCTGGGCCGTCTAGCTTGTCCCCTTTTATCCCAAACGAACGGGGCCGGATGGAATATGGCCGCGCGGTGGAGCTGGCCTTAGATGGTCACACCGGGGCGGGGCGCTGAAATCGCGTAAGGGCCGACGCGTGGTTGAGTTGGAGATGCACTAATGCTTTTATTCACGTGGGTCCATTCCATCCCATCCCATCCCATCCCATCCCAACAGAGAGAGAGAGGGGTTATGACATCATTCATTAGTGGGCTATGTTGGGGCGGGCCACTCGTTGGCGTTTCTTCTTGGGCCGGGCCGGGCCGCCCACTGGATGGATGGATGGATGGGCGGCCCATAGGTGCGGTGCGGTGCGTTTCGTTGTCATCATCATTATCCATCCTCTGAATTCTAGAAAAATAAGAAAAAATCATTATCCTCTCTCTGTTTCTCCTCCTCTTCCCCCGCCACCGCCACCGCCACCGCCCGCCAGCCATCTCCGGCAAGCCGCCGCTCTGTACTGTACTGTACTGTACTGTACAAAGAGGGAGGTTGAGTGGAGCGGATGGGGATACATATACAGAGGGCGCTCGTCTCCGGCCAGCCAGCGCTGCTATGCCCCTCTGGATGGCCATCGTCTCTGAGCAGCAGCAGCAGCAGCAGGACTGCTTCTGCTTCTTCCTCCCCATGGGCAGGGGCAGGGGCAGGGGCAGGGGCAGGGGTAGGAACCACCAAGCCCAACGCCATCATCATCCCCGTCCTCGCCAAGGATTTCACAAGGCGGCGGCGCACCGGCACATCAATTTCCCCTCTCCACGCGCTGCCTCTTTCCAAGGAGGAGGAGGAGGAGGAGGAGGAGGACAATGCTCTCTTGTTGTAAGATTCATTTTCCTTGTATGGGACTTTTAAGATACTACTAAGGATACACACTTGCTTGCTAATAAGATAGATACTACTCCTAGATGCTTACCTACCTACCTTGGACCCAAATCTATCTATGTTGCAATCATATGTTTCTGCTGCCTTTTGTATCTAACATAACAACAACAATCCAACAAATACGCAGCAGCAGCAGCGGCACTGTCGGCATCGACCTCATTCTTCTAGCCCTGCCTGCAGTCTTAGGCCAGGCCATCGACCCCATGGCGCAACTCATGGAGACCGCCTACATCGGCAAATTAGGTTGGTAATTTTTTACTCACTAACAACTCTTGTCGTTCGTTCGAGACCGCCCATCATCAATCAATGCCACTCATCAACTCATGTTCCTTGTATGCCAATTGCAATTAGTAATATCATCATGTCTATTTGGCACTTAAGTGCTAAAACCTTTAATTATCTATCTATCACCATAAGCCTCTTCTACTACAGTGGTGAAATACTATGACACCCAGACAGATTGGTATTACCTACCTCATATGGGACGGACGCCTTAGGAAGGAATGTTACTGCCTACACTCTCAACTGAAGGTGTCTTGTAGACACACATCCCTGCTGCATGAAAGCAACTTGTTAGTTATATTCTCTGTCTAAATCTTGGCATTATCTTCTCAAGGTGCTCTGGAGCTAGCATCGGCTGGCATTGGTGTCGCTATTTTTAACATCCTGTCCAAGATTTTCAACATCCCCTTGTTGAGCATAGCAACCTCATTTGTGGCAGAGGACATTTCCAAGAACGCTACCAAGCATTCTACTTCAGGTAACAGGATCCATCTGCTCAAGCTCAATAAAAAAAATAGTTTTGTGTGCAACTCTGCTTCTTCAGACAATGCAACTTCAACTCTCCTCTACGCGTTGCAGGCAAACTGCAGCTGCCATCCGTGTCGTCGGCTTTGGTTTTAGCTGCTGCGATTGGTACAATCGAAGCATTGGCATTGTTCCTAGGATCAGGACTGTTTCTTAAACTAATGGGCGTGTCACCTGTATGTATGTCTATATATCATGATGGTGCCTGTTACCATTTATGCGTTTTTCTTTCTCTCCTTAATTTATGCGCATTATGAGCAATGGATTTCACTCCTTAACTGGATTCAGAACAGTGAATTTCACTTCTGCTTGTTAGCAGAAAGTCTAAGTTTACTTCTTACACAGGCCTCTCCGATGTATGCTTCTGCGCGGCTCTTTCTTTCGCTGAGAGCCTTAGGAGCACCTGCAAATGTGATTATGTTAGCAGTGCAGGGTATCTTTCGTGGATTCAAGGATACAAAGACTCCCGTACTTTTTATAGGTAATAACTACCTCATCGTTTGCTTACTGGCATTGTGTTCTCACCAGTTGTGAGTGCAAAAGCTACCTTTTGATGCACATAATGGTGGTGTCCCCCTAAGTTGATGATATTTTCCTCTTATATTCCTGTCAAATATTTTGCAGTAACACACCAGTACTGCCTTTTTTGTGTCTATGTTCCACTTTCCAATGCCAAAGCCCATGAATAGTTTATCATTCACGCATTTGCACATTGATGCTGTTTGTAAGCAAGTCTCATTTGAATTGGAAGCGTTCCATACAGCTATCTGATGTAAAAAAGCCTCCTTTCTTGCAGACTTGCTGATTATTTAAAACACCTGTAGGTTTGGGCAATCTTTCAGCCGTGGCCCTTCTTCCGCTACTTATATATGGTTTTAAGCTTGGTATAACAGGAGCCGCAATTTCGACAGTCGCATCCCAGTAAGTTTTCTATTAGCTGGGTGTAATCTGAGTAAAAGAGAATTATGGAAGTCAATTCGACATATACCAGCAAATGTCTCTCCCAGTTTGGTTCCTATATGTTGCTGAAATAATCAAAGGAAATAACACTTGCTATTAAACTTGCAACTTACCTTTTTTTTTTCTCATTATCTGGATACGTTTAAATTGCGGCAAACATATGCAGTACTATGAGATTATTGGCTGTTAGCAGACCTACTGATATTGTGGCATGTAGTTTATTAGTTATATGATTACACATGTCAGATTTACTATCAAAACATGAAGCGTAGTGCTCATAATACTGGGCTGTTGGGTGCCTCACCTTTTTTTGTACTCCCTCCGTTCACTTTTGTAAGTCATTTCAGACAGCTCAAAATGGGTTGTTTTGCACATTGTCTCTAATGTCTTTAAGGTCTTATAAAAGTGAACAGAGGGAGCAGTTTTAATTGGAACAAAAATAGGATGGACCAGTTAGAGCTGTTGGGAATCTCACCTGTTATATGGTTTATGATGTAGGTACATTATTGCCATTTTGCTTATGTGGTCTCTAAGTAAAAGAGCTGTTCTGCTTCCTCCAAAGATGGACCAGTTAGAGTTCGGTGGATATTTAAAATCTGGTGAGTCTATGATCCCAGAAGTTTGTTCATTGGTCGGTTGTGGACTCATGGTGTAGGCTACTGAAAAAGTTCAGTTCTTCAGATATGTTTCTGTTGGCCTTCAGAGTATGGATTTTGTACATACAGAGTGCAGTTTACCGCAATCTGAATTTTTTTCAGCGAATTCCGAGTTTTTCTTGGGCAAAACCTGCAGGCTATTTGGGTCCTTCTATAGAAGTTTCTGTTTATGGCTTCATTTTTCATTTAGTTGGGCCCAGCTCTAGTCAAAGTACATAATACTCCTGACAATTCAAAAGAAAGAAGATATAGCCACTGATCCGGTATGTTTGTCAGATAAGAAGGCCAACTTGTTATTGATAAAGCTCTCATACTGTATCTTCTCATGATACATTATCTGACCGCTGGGCAATGGGCAACACTCATTGATCTTTTTGACCTTGTTACGCCGATATTATTTAGAGATCTTTGCTTGCACTAATGCGCCTGTGCTATTTTTCTCTGTTTTCTTTTTCTTCCCTTTGTTTCTCTGTTCACCTGTTGATTAATTTTACAATATATGTCTGTTTTCTTGAAATTGTTAGGTGGCATGCTATTGGGACGAACCCTCTCAATTCTGTTAACTATGACCATCGGTACATCGATGGCTGCTCGACAAGGCCCAACAGCTATGGCTGCTCATCAGATTTGTTTGCAAGTATGGCTTGCTGTATCTCTGCTTGCAGACGCCTTAGCAGTTTCTGCCCAGGTATGTATTTTCAGTTATAGAAATCATCCCTACTGTTAGATCAGCTTCCTTTTGCAGCTGTCGTTCTGTATCAAAATTTGTACAGAACCTTACATGACATACTACTAAATGCGTCATCATAATTTGAACTATTAAATACAAATATCGTTTCTCTAACTGAAGGATCTTGTCATGATTTATCTGGTCCATAAGTGCAGGCTAACTTTGCTTGCATTTCTTAGGCTCTGATAGCAAGCTCTTATGCAATATTGGACTACAAAAGGGTCCAGAAGGTTGCGATGTATTCTCTGCAGGTGATACATACTTCTCCTCTGCATTGTGAAGTTCAATTTATTTGCATGGATACTTGGCCCATTTATATTCTTGGGGATGCAATTGCTGTCTCTTGTGTTGATAGAAAACACAGATTAAATTATTGTCCATTGCAGATAGGACTAGCTAGCGGGTTAGCTTTGGCAGTTGGCCTGTATATCTCATTTGGTAGTATAGCAAAGCTATTTACCAATGACCCTCAGGTCCTAGCGGTTGTGAGCTCCTGTGCATTGGTATGCCTTCCTACTTTACCACTTAATTGTTACGTACATCTAAGCCTTATTCTGAAAAAAAAAACTTTCGTTTCAGTTTGTCTGTGCCAGTCAACCAGTTAATGCCTTGGCATTCATCTTTGATGGCCTCCATTATGGCGTCTCAGATTTTGACTATGTCGCTCAAGCTACGGTATGGGAACCAGTTCCGGCCAGCTTCATATATAGATCCTGGTTCTTTCTTCCTATTGGTCATGGATTTCTTGATTTTGTCTGGATTCCACAGATTGTGGTTGGGGTGATATCATCGTTGGTCTTGTTATATGCTCCACGTGTCTTTGGCCTGGCCGGAGTCTGGGCTGGTTTGACAACACTCATGGGATTGCGCATGGCTGCAGGCATCCTGAGGTGATCAATTATGCTTCTTGTTTCTTGTTCTGTTACATTACACCTGTGCAAAGCATACATGTATATATGATACTGCAGCAATATGTTTACTTTTCCTGTAACTGGATATAGTGTGATGCTCCGTGCTCATAGCCATCATGCAACTGCTTTCTCTTATTTGTTTGTGTTTCTGTTAGTATGTAACAATGACATTGCTAATTATAGTTGTTGTAGACTACGAATTGAACCTGCCATGCATGCTCCATTTTTTTGGGGGGACATTAGCCTTTGGCTTTCAGGGCGGGTGGTCTTTTCTGGGCAGAAATTGTTCACTACCACTGTACTTTGCACTTAATAACAATATGATTGCTATATTTTTCTTCTTGTGAAGTATACTAATATGTAATGGTATAGTGGTGCCAACACATTGCTACAGAAATAGTGCCAGATTCTAACTGAACTATACCAGAATTACTAGAAAATAGACAAGTCCAGAAGGCCTAGCATATGTTTTTTTTTCCTACTGCCTCTCATGTAACTGCGTTAGAGCCTCCACCTGTCATCGCGACTTCATTTGTGTGAAATGTTTGTATGGCGTCTTGAATCAAGGGCTTATTTCAGAGCGCCTTGCATCTTCGGCCGTGATCCGTCAGATAGCATGTGAAGTATTTCATTGTTTCACCATGCTGCCTGATAAGAGAAATTAATGTCATGTGAATTGGGACCTGGGAGCGCCTGTGTGGGTACCTGAAAAATTCTTCATTTTCTTGAATATGATCGGTACTTCCCAGCAAAAAAATAGAATAAATCCTTTTTCCATTGATGTGATGCTCTCATCTCACTGCAAACCGCTGGACAAATGTCAGGTTGCTATGGAAATCAGGACCTTGGTCCTTTTTGCACGAGGAACCAGAAACCAAGGTTTGTTAACTATTATTAGTTCTCGTCTTTCATACAACATTATTTTGCAAAAGGAGGATATGTAGCTCTTTGATACAGTACTGGCTTATAAGAATGGGTTTTTTCTTCTTCACATCACATTATTGTTATGATCCGTGGGGCCGGGCCGGGTGTGTTTGAATCGAATATTGCAGTTGCAGGCGCAGCCACTTGCATCATAAGAATTCATGTCGAGCCAGCGCAGGGAGAGCTGCATGGGCAGATGCAGTTGAGGAATGAAGAAGCACAAGCTAAACCAACAAGCTGCTAAGCTAAGAGGATTGTCATTAGTTTTGTCACTTTTGTGCGTGTGTGTATGTAAATAAGAGGAGGAGGATTATTTCATTTGATGTTGCCAGCATGCATGCAGTTTATTCATTTATTTGTTTGTTCTAATTATGAGCATGCATTTCTAATGATATGGAAAGTATGGAAGAAATGTGAGTTGTAGTATCCCGGGTTTCAGAATGTTACTGTTAGTTGTTGGTTCCCCTATGGCTATTCTTCTCATTTCATTTCGCGGAGAAGCTCCATATATATTGTCTTGGTTTTTATGGTCTATTTAGGCTACGGCACCACTCAAAAACGAGGAAAATGAAGAGTGGAAACAGGGAGAGGATGGTGATTTGGATTTGCAACACCAAGCCATAATATAAGAGAGTTGAAGGTAGATCTGGCCTTGACATGGGTTTAGTCATGGACGACTACCATGCAGTAGAATGTCGGTATGAAATTGACCATCAAGTGGGTCTCTTTGCCATTTTATGATGCATGGCCATTTGACAGATTTCTTAAAAGCTGCTCACTCCGTCCCATAATATAAGAGCTTTTTCGCACTAGTGTAGTGTCAAAAACACTCTTATAGTATTATGGGACACATGGAGTAATTGAAAACATAAATAATAAAAAAGGAAGGCGGAGCTCGTGCTTTTGTAGCAGCGCGCATTGTTTCCACGTCAAAATCCTCCACTCTCTTCTTTCAACATCCGCCGCTCTTCGCCCAATTCCTGCCCTTTTCTCCCACCCTCTCTTTTCTTCCGTCGCCGATGCATGAAACCGTCGGAGAACTTGTCGAAGATGGAGCCGGCCGAGGTGCTGGAGGATCCGAGCATCACGCCTGCCCGAAAGATCAGCTCGGCTACACGGCAAACTCGTCGCGTCAAAGCGAAGGCCGCAAAGGAAGAGAAGCTCAATAAGCGGTTGGCCCGGTGGAGGCGTTGGGCATGGAGGTTGTGGCGGACGATGCATTCGTAGCGGTCGTGGCAGACACTGCCAGACGGGTGCACCCACAGTACAGACAACACCACTCAAATATTCGGACGGGTGCCAGTCAGTGGCATGCGTCCAACACTTTGAACCAAAACGGCAAGCCATGGGTGGGTGCGCCCGTCCATGGTGTATTCTTGCGCACCCCGATGATTCAAGCCTCCCGTCTCTCTCTCTCTCTCTCCCCCCGGTGGATTCTTGCGTGCAGACGTGCCGATCTGCGAGCAATGAAGGAAAAAAGAATGTGAATAATTTTTGAATTTTTGAACAAAATTAAGAAAAAAATAAAAGTAAAATAAAGTTGAAAACGGAAAAGAAAAGAAAAAAGAAACAGGAAAACAGATAAAAGAAAAAGTATAAACGGGAGAAAAAAAAGTTCCAAAACAGGAACGAGCAAACTGGTTAAATGGGCCGGCCCAGTCGGTTCGCTAGTGCGGCTGGCGATGGGGCGACAATTTGCCGCAACGGGCAGCAAATAGGGATTTCCCTTCATCATTGCTCGCATGCATGTGTGAGGTAGGAGTAAATTTGCTGGTGCGTAGTGGGCCGGTGGAGTGAATTTGTGGTCGTGGTCTGCTGCCCTGGTACGTAGGCTTGGGCCTAAAAGGCTAAATAAGTAGACAAAAATACGTGATCGACAAACTACAACAAAGATCATATCCACGCCAACCATCACATGCTCCATCCACTCATCCAAAGCTATTTGCCGCAACAGAAATGGTACATACATGGGCTCGGCTATACAGGTCACTCAGGGACTTGTTTCACCGACAGTACTTGAAGCCATAGCATGCAGAGAAGATTTAGCATTGACGGAGGATCCGGGGATGCAACACCTCTACATTGCATCAGATTGTAAGGATGTCATAAATCATATTCATGATGGCTTTGGAGGAGCAGATGGGGTGGTAATTAGAGAATCCATGACTGCAAGTGGTGCTCCTGCTACTTCAAGTTTTGTCCACACTACAACTTCTTAATCTTCTTTGTAAAATGAAAGCGACTTCAACTTCTCTGTTAAAATGGAAATTGCTTCAACACATGTCTTGGTAGATGAAGTGGTATGTGGTGTACTCAGGGAGGTATCTAGGAGTCTATGATTCATGACACACATGTCGTGAACAAGTGGATGGTCATAAGAACAGCCGCTATAAAAGGTTTAAGAATAGGGAGGAGGCAGAGGATGATTACTCCAAGCTCGTGCTCAGAGAGAAGAGCAATCATGAAGCAGGCAAAGGTGCAGGTCTGGTTAGGTTGAGTGGGCCAAAGAACTTGATAATATTCGTCCAATTCGTCATCATTGTGGAGTTCAGGTCATCCCGTGCCATGTTAGTACATTGGGTCGATTGTTAGTTATTTCCAAGATCATTATCTAACACTTATCTGGTTTATCTCCTCTGTAAAATGCAAAGTAGTTCCACTTCATTGGAGAGTGGTAATGTATACGCTACATGGATTTAGCTCGCATTGCATTTTCAATAACCTGCTCATTTCTTGACATGCAACGGTAAATTAGCTGCATTGCATAGGAAAAATAGATGCTTAGTTGTGTGCGTTAGAGATATAAATCACACCATCTAATGACGACTTCCATTGCCAGGCGGGGGCGTATGATCTTCTCTAATACATTGCAGTATGGCTTAAGATAGCTGGAAGGTCAACTGTGTATATTATTTGCATCCATTGATGATCTTTGTCTATCATGCAGATGATGTACGGTCACTAGTAGAAAACAAGGCTTTCGTCACAGCCGGATCGGAGCAATAGTTCCGGTTGCGTTACGAACCGGGACTAATGTGAGCATTAGTCCCGGTTCGAGCGGCTAGGGCGTCGGGAAAGCATTAGTCCGGGTTCAAATGGGACCTGTAATCCCGGTTTGAGACATGAACCGGGACTAAAGGGTGCGATGCCCTTTAGTCCCGGTTCGTATCTCAAATCGGGACTAAAGATTAGACCTTTAGTCCCGGTTTGAGACATGAACCGGGACTAAAGGGTGCGATGCCCTTTAATCCCGGTTCGTGTCTCAAACCGGGACTAAAGGGGTTCGTGTCTCAAACTCTACCCTCGGTGTATCGCCATTTTAGTTTTGAAAAAAAAGGAAATGATAAAACTTCAAAAAATAAAATCCATTGTAGTTATATTACTATATCTGCTAGTTAGGAAAATTAATAAATAAATAAATTTGGACATGTTTTGCAAAAAAATGTTATGAAAAAGTAAAACGGCAATAACTTTTGCATACGATGTCGGAAAAAATGTATAATATATTTCAGTTTTTTTTTTGAATTTTGGTCAAACTGTGGTCAAACTACTTATTCAAGAAATATTAGTGTTACTAAATAATTATTCAAAAATATTAATGTTACTAAATAATTATTTCAGTTTTTTGAATTTTGTTCAAATCTGGTCAAATCTAGTCAAACTGTGGTCAAACTATGGCCAAACTACTTATTCAAGAAATATTAATGCTACTAAATAATTATTGGTTTTAAGAATAATAGTTTCAAACTCAAACAGTGTAACGTGTGATTTCATGCTCAACTTCAACTCCTAAGGGTTAATAGGATTGATAGCTTACTATTGTCAGGAAAACAACAAGTGCAGACTTGGAAACTAGGGGGAATAGAACTTGGAAGTTAAGCGTGTTCTGGAGTAGTGATAGGATGGGTGACCGGCCGGGAAGTTAGATGATTTAGAATGATGAGGGGTGATTAGAGAATAGAGATTATAGATTAAATTGAGCAGTGATGAGGGGTGATTAGAGATTAAATTGTAAAATAATTCAGAAATTTGAAAATCGGAAAAAAATCATTTTTTTTTCTTCAAAAAAGGGACTAAAGGTGGAGCTCCAGATAGCGGCCACGTGGAGGGCCTTTAGTCCCGGTTCGTAACAGAACCGAGACTAAGGGGGGGGGGGGGCTTTAGTCCCGACCCTTTAGTCCCGGTTCGAGAACCGAGACTAAAGACCCTCTAGAACCGGGACAAAAGGCCCATTTTCTACTAGTGGGTTGGCGGCAAGCAAATATCTGTGAGGGATATTGGAAGGCAAGACCGATAGACCTCAAAGCAGGCCACAAAGCATCGCGGGCAAGCTGTGAAGACTTTGTCACCTGGCCAAGACAACTCATAGATAGAACATATGATGACTATGGGCTTGTACTATTTCAATGCCATTGTATGATGTGTACCCATGGGAAAAAATGACATTGTATGATGTGAACATGTAAAATCATATGTACCATGGGTAATGCCATAAATTATTGTTGTCTTTGTACTTTTTTTTGTTATAGTGTTTCATTTCACTATCGTGACCTAGTAGGAAATAATTAGATCCACATACATAACGGAGCGGCACATAGAACATTGGAAGCGGTTATAAATACGAAAGCGTATGTGTTGTTGGTGATATTGAAGGTAGTTTGTACAAGCGCTAGCGCTAGCTGTCATTGTGCGGAGTATATTAGTTATCGGGCTTTGAGGCGGAATAGGGAACCGCCGCCGCGCGCTCCATGTACGAAAACCACCTCTAATGCCAGATTATTTACTAGTGATTCTAACATGATCCCTCCGTTTGTGAGGTCGTCTCCTTTCTCCTTGACTAGACGACCTTGTTGTCTTATTTTTTGCAAGGTGACGACCTTGTTGTCAAAGGCCTTGCACATTTATTTCATTGTATCGAAAGAGGCCTAAGACGGCGCTTGTACCAAGTGCATGCATAATAACCATTATCAAAACCTAACTAAGGCGCTTGCAAGATTGATTTTTTTTTGAGTGCCCAAGAAACTACTCAGGCTGTAATACACTCGGAGGCAACAAGGCCCTGAAGTCTGTCCGGAACTTTAGCAATTATTTCCTAGTCTCCACTAATCCTGGCTTCAGCAGCGAGCTCGTGTGCTAGCTTGTTGCATTCCCTGGGACGTGTGATATTTTGTATTCAGAAAAGACTGCAAGGCTAGCTTTTATGTCCAGGATCA